CACCATCATCACCACCACTATCATCATCACCACCACCATCATCATCACCACCACCACCATTACCACCTCCATCATCATGCCCACCACCACCATCACTACCACATCATCATCACGTATGTGCATGCCAGCATGCTGTAGCATGCATATGAAGGTCAGAGGACAACTTTGAGTAGTCAATTCTTTCCTTCCACCTTTATGCGACTTTTAAGGATCAAATTCAGGTCACTAGGCTTGTGTGTCAAATTCCTTTTCTCACTGAACAGCTTCACCATCTCTGGTCTGCTAAAATTGGAAATATGTACTTCCAAGATATGGAGAAAACTTTAATGTCCATCAGTAGGGGGATGGATGAAGAACATTTAATGTATATGTACATGGGAATAATATGTGGTTTTTAAAAAAACACAAAAAATGCTGTCATCCACACTAGTATGGTTTCACTTAAAAGCTATTATGCTTAGAGAAACAAGCCAGGCACAGAAAGACAAATATCAAAATACCACAATGATCACATATATATGTTATATGATTACATATGTTACATTTCATACACATACACATTCAGAATCTAATAAAATTGAACTCATAAAAGTAGAAAGATGGATGATGGCTGCAGTGGGCTGGGGTTGGTGTAAGAGGAGAGAGTGGTGTATGTTTAGTTCAGATGGGAGTAAGTTTGGGGATCGATTATGTACAATTGAACTACAGTTTTCCTTGTAAAAGTTAATTACATCTTTATAACACTCAAGTTAAATAAGGTTAAAAACTCTGGGTGTGTATCAAAATAATTAAAAAGAGTAAATTTTAAATGTCTCACCACAAAACACCACAAGCAAGCAAGGCAATAATATGCTAACCTACTTGGTTCAATCATCTTCATCACCTCAAGTCACACACACAGATCAGACATCAGTTTTGCCCATTACACACACACAAGTATGACAGGTTAGGTAAAAAATGTATTACTTGAAATTTGCTCATTATATCTGTTATATTCATGGTATTTTCTTATTTCTAAACTGAAAGAATGTCTATTTAAATACTAACATGTAGGGCCAGTGAGATGACCCAGTAGATAAAGATGCTTGTGACCATGCCTCATTTTCTGAGTTTAACACCTAGAACCCTCATGGTGGAAAAGAAAGGACTACTACAAATTGTCTACTGATCGTATGTGCAATGGCACGCACACACAAGCACACACACTGATATACATACAAGTGTGAATGCAGTGACACATGCACATTAATGTAAACACTAAAGGTCACATTTGGTCAGCTGGATAGCTTCTTTGGTCAGATGGTACAATCTTGGAGATAAGAGGAATTATTGTCAAGAAAGAAATATCATAAAGGAAAAAAAGGAAGTCTTAGCCTCTTGGAGCAATTATTCTAGATCTAATGGAATGTGGCTTGGAAAAAGAAAATGATGCTTCTGAGTCAGTTATGATTTAGATCTCGAATGTCCCATGTGGGCACATGTTTTGAACGGTGTTTGGTTAGTTTGTGGCACTGTTTTGGGTGCTGTAGTGCCTTTTGGAGGTGGGGTCTGGCTGGCTGAGGTAAGCCACTAGAGGTAATGCCTGGCTCCTGTCCTGGTCTCTGTCCTCTTCTTCATTGCTGGTAGCAAGCTCCTGTCACTGGGTATCGCATCACTTCCCCATGTTTTCCCATTAAGATGGACTGCAACCTTCTGCAACCACAAGCTGAAATCAGTATCTCCTCACAAACATTGTTTCTGAAAGGCATTTGGTAGGGCAATACCAAAGTGTAACACAGGCTCTCTGCCCAGTCAGTTCCTTATATTTGTTCGCCTGTCAAACTGACTGACTAATTCTTTATTGGACTGTCTATTTGTTTTCTTTTCCTGAAAGCAGTTCTTCGTTATATATTTCTACACACAATTCTTTGTGCTTCTCTGATTTCTTAAGTTCTAAAGACAGTTTTTCTACTATTTTATTGTTTAGTGTTGTTGATGATTTATTTTATTTTATTTTTGCTTGCCATTTCTTCATTTGTACTAAGACAGTGTCATATAGGTCAAGCTGGCACTGAATTCAATATGGAGCTAAGGCTTCTGATAACTGATCCCCCTGCCTCCATCCCCCATGAGCTGGCTAAATGTGGGCAGTGGATCCTGAGATGGCTCTCTGGTGTGGCCAATGAGGGAAAATGTGTTCTTTTATGAACCCTTGTCCATTGGTGGGTAGGGTATCATCAATATGGTTGAAGCGATTTGGATTCCATCCCACCTGGACTCATTCCCACAGCTAAATGGAAAGCATGAATCTTAGATACGTTAGTAGAAAGAGGAATATCCCTGAGGATAGTGACAGTATGGCAGAGGAACTCTGTGAATGGTCCTGTAACCACGTGAGGTCTAAACATGCAAATGAGTCCAGCAACACCTGCTACCAGAAAAGAAGGTGACAATGGGGGTTGGAGAGATGGCTTGGAGGTTAAGAGCACTGACAACTCTCCCAGCACCCACATGGCAGCTCATAACTGTCTGTAACTCCTGCTCCAGGGGGCCTGATACCCTCACACAGACATATGTACATAAAATAAAAATTAAATTTTAAAGAAGGAGAAGATGGTTTGTGAAACATGAAGGAATGAAACTTCTCAAGGTACAAATGTTCCACTCACTGGATTCTGATGCTCTCTGTAGCGTTATCCTAGTGTAGGAATGGTCTCCAATAGGCTAAGATAAGCTACAAACACTGAATAATGTACAAATGCCAATACAATAAAAGGCAGCTACCTTTTAGTATTGTCATGAGAGTATTTTTAGTCATGGAAATCCTTAGAGTGCTGTGGAGCTCCTTCTCCCACTACCCACTCATTTAGAAACTGAACATTGAGAACAATATTCCAGAAGAAGATGCAAAAATTTTGTTCAGAACTGAGCACTATGGTGCTAGGGATTGTTGAAAACATTAGATTTCTTTTCTTGGTTGATAAGTTCACAGGTGTATAATTACAATCATCCATTTATAATGCCTCTCTGTCATTTATTTATGTGCATATGATTTAAAGGAAGAAAGACATGCATGATTCAGAGTGATGTGAGAAAGCTATATTGTAGAGCTAGTGAGCACACTGAAGTCACTGCTTCCAAGCTCTGCTCCTCAGCTCTGTAGATGAATGAATAGCTCCCTTTCTCTTCTTCAGTGAAACTCTCAGGAGATGGTGTCAAGGCTGAGGGAGAAGGAGCAGCCTCATATTTTTATGACTGGATTAACGACTGGCTTATCTTCTAAGCTGGTCTTTTTTTTTTTTTTTTTCTGGGTTGGAGGTGCACAGTAGAAAACAAAATAATAGCAGCAATAACCACAGACTCCCATCACATCATTGTTCGGAGCATGCCTGCTCAAGGCTCCTCTTACAAACAGCCCCATGGGACATCTCACCTCAGTCTACCGCTCAGTCACGATAAGGGTGAAAAGAAAAAATGCTACATAAAGGTCAACTCCCTTCCAGTACTAGATACTTTCTATAAGCATAATTTACAATAAGATACAACATTCACGACTCTTTTAAGAAAACAATTCAGCTTTTAAGAAGTTAAAAAAAAATATCCTTACCTAGAGTATGGTTCTCCTGCTTTGACTTGAAGCTGACGTGCACAACACCACTGTATATAATTAAGGATATAACTGAGGTCAGCAGACTCTCTCCATTAATTAAATTTGTGAGGCTTCTAGAAAGACCTACAAATGTCAAAGAAGAGAAAACGGCACCCATATTACAGAATTAAATTATATTAGCTTACAAGAGGACATCCTTTGCTATGGATTTGTGTCAACTAAACTGTCACCATGTAGGGAAAAAAACAAACAAGTAATTTACCAACTCCAAGTCTCTACCATCATAATCAAATAACAAATTACAGTTCATTATGTTCATGTCAGTAATATATTAATTGATAACTTGTTCTTTCTTTCAAAACATTAGTCACATCATGAAATTTATTAATGTAAAGAATTTAATTACTTGGCTACATAGGCGAACTTCTTACAAATCAGATGTATTTAACATGAGATAAAAAGTGATGATTGAAGGATAAAGTAAATTCACAGGCCAAGGTCTTATATAAAACAGAATAAAAATAAAACAACAAGATATCTATCTATCTACATATTTAAAAACTGGCTGACTTTTCCATGTATTATTTTTAATGGCTTTAGCATAAAGTTTCATGGACAAAGAACATTTTAAAATGGCCTACTTCCATCCTAATTTTCTTCTATGTATCATGATATTTTAAGCCTAAGTATCTGCTAGTTAATTATACATTCCCTTTCCCATTAAATATGCCAGTACTGGCGAGGTTCTAAGTGTGAGCCTCTTTAGTGACTTGGGAGCCATAGGTCAGTGCTATTATATAGTAACATTCCTTATAGGAAATGTCTTGTTCTATAACTACAGTCACAATCTACCCATGGTCAGTCTGCTGATAGAAGAGAGGCCTGGGTACTGTGTTCTTCTCATAATGCCACTGTGTTAATGCTCCAGTTCCTCGTTCTTCTAACAGCCATGACTATTACTCTTAACATTACACCAATTGATCCAGTCTAGGTGGTTACCAGATCGAGGGACTTTGGCCTCCTTTCTCCTGTAACCATCATGGCAGTATCCTCTTGCTATGCTACTGCAGGAAGTGGGAGATATATGGAGGAAAGGTGAATCACATGGTTTCCAGATGTTTATTGTCTGCCGATTGTAGATGAATGGGTAAACTAGGCAAGACCATCAAGCTTGATTTTTGTTCTCAGAACTGCCACACCCATGACAAATAATAAACAGTTGTTGCTTTCAGGTACCATATTGGGGTGTTCATTAGTCATCAAAAACTACTATTGTATAATTACTCCAGTTCATAAAATACAACTAGCTCAACAAATAGTGCCTGTTTAAAAATGAATAGCCAATTTGGACTCAAGGAAAGAAAAAAAAAAAAAAAGAAACCTCAAGACAATGAAAATGTATTCATACCCTCTACAGACATACACTTTTCTCCTTAGGCAGATTATATTTTTATCAATAATGTACAACTGTATATGACTTATACAAGTACATAAACAAAAGAACACATTTATACAGTTTTAAAATATTTGGAAGATAGAGACACAGTGGACTCAGTATATTGCTTGTGTGCATGAGGACCTGAGCTGGATCTCCTGAACCCATGTGAAAAATCTGGCCATATGCACCTGTCACCCCAGTTCTTGGGGGGGGGACAGCTAGTTCCCTGGCTCCCTGACCAAACTGGCAAGCCAAACTGGTGAGTTTCCAGTTAGTGAAAGACCCTCTTTCAAGTGATCTGAAAGATTATCAGAATGATTATTTTTTGAGGTTCTTCTCAGGCCCCCAGGGGCACATGCCCACTTGTGCCTCAGCTGAACACACTCAAGTACTCAAATGCACAGAATCTTGTTTTTCAAGACCAAGCAAAAATGATACTATGAGAAAACCCCTTTTACAAATATTTTTCAAAGACTCAAATTTAGAAGTAGCAGCAAGACGGCTAATATTTATGAGATTAGCCTTCCATGATACACTGCTTAGATTATTGTAATTTTTTAAAAAACAAGGAAAAATTTAGTGGACTATTACAGTTTGAGATTCAGAGATGAAAGCATGGGTGACATTGGATTCTTGGTGTGTTGGTAAAATGTTATTTTTTTAATGTATACACCTTACCCTTGTTTATTTAAATACTGGTTTCTCCCCCATCCCATCCCCAACTCTCTGGTTTCAATCGGATATTGCATTGTTATACTCATTCTAAGCATCCTGTCTCAACTCTTGTGTAAACAGGAGCAAAATAAAGCAACTAAACACAATGTTGAGCAGGGAGGAGCCAGAGGACAGAAAAGAGGGGAGGAGCCAGAAGGCAGGAGAGGAGTGGGAAGAGAAGGAGAGGAAGGGGCAAGAGGAGAATGAGGAGAGGGAGCTGCAGGAGAGATCTTGGAGGATCTAGCACATGAACCAGACCTAAGATTTCACAAAAAGCAAGTATAATGTGGGAAATCTAAATGTTAGGAAACTGAGGGCATGGAGGTTTAGGAAAGAGTAAATATTGTTCAGCATTGTGTTCTAGGTTAACTAAAAACCCAGGCTCTGTGTGGTGATTTGGTTATACAGCTGCTGAGGATTAAAAGCAGCATTACCAGAAGATAAATCAACAGTAAATATTAATCGTCTATTACAACATCGGTGTCTTAAAAATGTATGTCTTTTGAGTAGAGAAGTGCTAGATTGGTGAAACTCACAAAAGGTAGGGACCTGGAGAAACAGTATAGAGAAAATGAGAGACCACAGATTCTGCCTTGCTTTAATTTAGAGATAGGATTTTCTTATGTTGCTTCAGGATGGCCTTGAACTAATGATCCTCATGCGTTGGGGTTCTATGTGCTAGGATTCCAGTTTTGTATCACTCAGTTAAGATCAATCTTCTCTAAAAGTCTCTCTTGAGGTAGAGCACTATGGCAGAATGCTTGCCAATCATGTTGGAAAACCCATATTCCATTCTCAGTTATCACAAAACAAATGTGTAAAATAAAAGAAATACATTCTCCCTTTACTATCTAAATCTCTTTGTCTTAAAGGCTCGAGTTTCCTTTATTCGCATATTTACACTCTATTACATGTCTATTTGTACTTGTTAAGAACAGCCCTGTTTCATTTATCTGGCCACAAAGTAGAAATAAAATTGACAAGAATATGTGTGTGCTGTCATTGTGCGTATGTGTGTGTACATAGCCATAGTTAATCCATATGAATATTCTATCTAAAATAAAAACTCTAGTGCCCATTATTAACAAATGAATACAGGGGGAAACGGGGTTATTTTTCCTGTACAAGATTCTGGATCATTTTGCTTTTCTGAATAATTTACCTTATTATTTTTTGTCTAAATATAGATTTGTTCATCCTAAAATAGTATATATCACAACAATTCTGAGTGGTAATTTTATTGGCTTTCTATTCTTCTGGCTTTTAAGTAATATTGTTGGTGACTACAAAGAACATTTTAAGTGGCATTATCCAATTGACTGTCTTCAAAGGACAATGAATAATGAGCAAAAGAAAACTGACTACAGTATGTATGCGTAATGTCAGTGCAAGGTAGGTATGACCCTACTCCATGATGGGAAACTGCTCTCTTGAGATGCAAGATGAGCATTTGACTAGACTTTCCTTCTCCCCTAAGCATCGCTTGCAGAATATATGCCGGTCTTCCATACCCTCCAGTCTCTTCCCACACCACTGCATGTAGTGAAAATCCATCTCTAGCAAAGGATCGTAACATGAAGATGAGTTATCTATAAAATATGTCCTCGGTATAGGAAAGGAAAAGAGATGAGAAAGGGGTACCTACCCAGGTCTCTTATGGAGGCTGAAGTCAGCATAGGATCTGAACTTACAAGAACAGCTGAAAAGAGCAACCAGGGGACAGTCTTCAGAGATAATTTATTCACAGATTGCAGATACCAAAGAATTAAGGTGTAATTAATCACAAATCCAGGAATTGTAATTAAGAGTATCTGCAAAGACATTTGATGGTAGAAAGATGAGATTGCTTTTGCATTCTGTTTTGAAAAAGCAGACGACCCGACAGGGAACTGACTAGCAGTGTGGCCACCAGGCCCACTTTGCTAGAGCAATGCCCCCACCCCCAATTCCCACCTAAACAGAGATACAGAAAGTGGTTGAGCAAAGCTCTTCTGGGTCAACCTACACCACGTTCTGTTCTCTGCCGCTACTGCTATCCCATTCTCCATGCCTCCTGGTCATTTGGTTGAGCTTCATGTGCCTGGTTTTGAGTTAAAAATGCTTCTGATGGGGTTTGCTCAAGAGCCTTCTACTTATAAAACTATTTTAATAGCTTTGGAAGATGTGTGTGCACAGCTGTGTGTGTGTGTGTGTGTTCAGGTATGTTTTCTCTCAGTGTCTTTCCTCAATAGAGCCCTCACGTCTTGGTCCCTAGGAGCCACTGCAATTTGGTCTACAGTTGCTTTCTCAGCCCTTTTGCTGTTCCCGGCAGTTGTAGCTGTAGATGATAGGGACTTAAAACTGGATGTTTTTAATCAAATTCTTCCTTCATAGAGACAATACACTTCATAGTCACATTCTTAAAAATTTCCAGAGCTAAAATGATAATTGGTATAAAGTTCTGCCATTAAAATAGTCAAAAATTGTTTATTTTTTCCCCATGGCTTTACCCCGAGCTTTCAATATAATAGAACACTGTTAATATACGTTTTCTTTTTTCTTCTAGATACAAAGCTGAAGTTACCACTCTGGTACCCTATGTCCCTCCTCTTCCCGTTCTTTATTTTCTATTTGGGGAAAAATTTATAATCTAAAAATAACTAACATTGTTCATGAATGGAGAGTAATGTGAAAACAGAACTGTGTGTGTACATAGTGTGTGTACATTACCTGCCACAATAACTTTTGAAGCATGTATATATCCATGTCAAATGCAACGTTAAAGATAATCACCGGCGTAAATATTCCAAAAAACATGTCTGGATCCATCCACTGTATGGCGTCTGCATATACCTGGATCTAGTAATATAAAATTGATTATTCTCATATTTTCACCCTTTGTTAGCACAGAACACATTCCAGAGGCCTTCTCAAGCAGCAGAGAAAGAAGGTTTTAGATAGAAAAAAATTTTTTTTGAGGGATGAAGTCTTACTCTGATGGGTATTCCGATCTTTCCATCTGATAGACAGATGCAAACATCTAACAGAAGAGAGTTGATACACAACCCTGAGGCCTTTCAAAGGGCGGATAGAGGAAACAGATTGAGACAGGAAGTAAAGAACACATAGTGGATTTACAGGTACAAAGAGAGGGAAAGCATTTCTAGTAAGTGGGTTTTCACACATAAGAATCCTCAAATGAATAAATGATCCCATGAAGCCCCAGGACCTACAAGTAGCCATTTTTAATCAGTATCTGTGAAAGAAAGAGAAGCCTCGCTGGAGCCAACATGAGAACTTTCTTGTGAGTGCTGAAATAACTGGTTGTGTCTCTCCTGATGTCGATTGACATCAGCGGGTTGTATTAGGAGCATCATTCAGTTAATCTTCCTTCTGATGGGGCCTACTACACACACAGATGTCACCTGGCTTCCATGACACACTTGCCTGTGCTATCAGAGTTTTGAAAACAGGTGCAAGAGAAAGTTCATTCTCCCCTTTTATCATTGTGAAAGCCTTTTATCTCTGGCCCAGGTCTGTACTTTTTCTCCTATGGCAGGCTGGCTTATTAGCTTGCAGAGTACTATTTTAGATAGGCCACCGTTATCCACAAAAGACATTTTTCTTTGGAGGTTTTAGAAGTACTTAAAGTTGTACTTAGTCAAAATCGTGATTAGGTAGGTGAACAATTCAGTTTGTGTTCTTGCACAGACAGTCTATTTTAACAATACTGGCTATATCTGAAAAAGTCCATCATTTTCACACCACTTCTCACATCCATGTGACTGACTGACTAAGTGGTCATTGGCTAAATTTAGCTTTTGGGCTAAATGTGACTCATTTATGTTTTAAAGATGTTTGCTTTCAAACCACCATGACAGAATTCAGTAGCAGGAACAGAGATCACAGAGCTTGCACAATGTAAACAATTTACATTAAGGCCTCTGACAAAAGGAAAAGCTTTTCCACGAGTTTCTGACTCAGAGGAATGATTGGTGTGCCAGGAATAAAGTCTACATTACTTTTAGTAAGTATTCTCTCCTGTCTCCAAGATCCAAGCTGTTCCTAATGTTGTCACTTTTTTGTCTAAAACTAGTTTGTTTTCATCATTTTCCGTTCAAGGAATAGGCTCAGTTTATCTTTCTCGCTATGTCTTGTCCTTTACACACTTAGAGACTAGCATGTTTATAGAAAATTTATAAAACATTTTAAACTATTTTAACAATAGGCAACACTATTGGGCCTATCAGAATTATCTTACTACCAGAATCCTTTGCTAGCAACTGCAAGTTTCCCCAAACAAGTTCTTGTCTAAGCTTTTGAATTCTACTCTATCCTCAATAGCTGTAAACATACTCCCTTCCAGCTACAGATGTGTTTTCAGACTGTGGGCCTTGATCCTTCAGTGTTGTTACTTTTCTACATCACAAGCATTCATATGCTTGTTTGAGTTGAAGGAGTTGCATCTTTTTTTAAATTTTCTTTAGCTTTCTTTGCATTTATGCAATTCTTAAATAAAATATTGATATTCATTTATTATACATACCTGGGTAGATGCAAAGCTCAGAATTTCAAAACAGCATCCAATTAAAAATAGTATCACAGGAAGAGGAATTGGGAAATCTTTCAGATGCATGTTCAAAAATGCTGCAAAAAGTATACATGTTACTCATAGGCAATATCTCATTTAAGGACTTGTACTATATATGTTATATGACTTCTAAATTCCAACAAAGTAGAATGGTATCTACTACTAATTTATTGTTTGTGTGTGATCAAGACCCTCTCTGATGGTTAAAGATACAAAAACCATTGTGATCGTTAATTTATCAGCTTTCTGCTTAATGACACTTATGATGGATTACATTTCTTTAGATAAGTATTGATAGAAACCATTGATTCTTGGTTTATTAAAACATTTGCAATAGCTTTTTTTGGAAAGTAACTTTTTTATTTTTTTAAGGAATTTTTAAATTTTTTTTATTAATTACACTTTATTTACTTTGTATCCCCCCTGTAGTTCCCTCCCTCTTCCTCTCCCAATCCCTCCCTTCTTCCTCCTTCTCCACACATGCCCCTCCCCAAGTCCATTGGTAGGGGAGGTCTTCTTTTCCTTCCTTCTGATCCTAGTCTGTTAGGTCTCATCAGGAGTGGCTGCATTGTCTTCTTCTGTGGCATGGTAAGGCTGCTCCCCCATCAGGGGGAGGTGATCAAAGAGCAGGCCAATCAGTTCATGTCAGAGGCAGTCCCTGTTCCCATTACTATGGAACCCACTAGAAGACTGAACTGTCATGGGTACATCTATGCAGGGGTTCTGGGTTATCTCCATGAATGCTACTTGGTTAGACTATCAGTCTCAGGGAAGACCCATCTGCCCAGATTTTTTGGATCTGTTGCTCTCCTTGTGGTGTTCCTGTCCCCTCTGGATCTTGCTAACTCCCATTTCCTTCATAAGATTCCCTGAAATCTCCTCAAAGTTTGGCCATAAGTCTCAGCATCTGCTTTGATAGTCTGCAGGGAAGAGCCTTTCAGAGGCCCTCTGTGGCATGCTCCTAACTTGTTCCCTATTTTCTCATTCTTCTAATGTCCATCCTCTTTGCCTTTCAGGATGGGGATTGAGCATTTTAGTCAGAGTCCTCCCTCTTGATTAGTTTCTTTAGGTGTACAGATTTTAGTATGCTTATCCTATATTACGCAATAGCTTTTATAGCCATTATAAATCATGGTTTCATATGCAGTTTTTCAGGAAAAGTGTAATTAATGCTCAACAAACCTCCTGGCTTTGGAACCAGGAAAAACTAGCTGTAATTTGCCCAACAGAAAAACTTTGCTGGCTGCTTGCCATTTTTGTGAAAGGGCAGCACCTGAAAGTATGATAAGTAAAATGGGAACATTTTTCCTGATTCTTTTAATATACTCTCTACAAGGGAAGTGAAAAAAAAAAAACAAAACACATATCCAGTTTGGTCTTGTTTTTTGTTTTTTTGTTTTTTTTTTTCCTTTTATAAACGGGAAGAGTAGGTATATCATTTCGGTAGAACTTCTGAAACCCTCTATTTAGACCTTTGATTCTATTTTCTTTACTTATAATAGTTCCTGAGAGCTAAGTTTTACCCATTAGTAACTGTACTGTAATGTTTTAACCTGACAGAGATGAAGGACAGTGATGACACAGGAGAAATCTATTCTCAGGGGCAGGGTATTGTTTGTTTTCAGTTGAAAATATTATAGTAAATATCAAATTAAAATTCTAATTTTCTATTACTGTTACTTTCCTTAATTCTATATGATAGCACCTAGAATACCTATCCATAGACTATGAAGAGAGGGTGTCTTAGCTTACCTCCAATAGTACAAATCAAAGACAGTATCAGGATGATTTCAGGGAGGTCCCGAGGAGTGCTCAGAAACACACTTTTGAGAAGATCCAGCCATGCATTACTTAGTTTGACACTTTGAGTTGTAGTCAAATTCTCAGCACTTTCTTCTATCCCCATGTTTAATTACAGTCCTTCTGCCTCTCACTCTATGTCTTTCTGCAAAACTCAGAGGGGACCAAATGGAGTAGGGATTTTCGTTTTGGTGGTCTCCTAATGATTTGCTAAAAGACAAGAAAATCACATATTTCTGCTTTAATTATCTCAAGTCCTCACTCATGGTCTGCAAACATTAGGGATGCCTCTACTTCTTGTGATAGTTCCATATGAAATGTAAAATGCAGAATCCTGGGATATCATAAATACTCATCAATGCTGTGTGTCCTTTCACAGTCCTGAGTGGTACCCAGTCATCGCTCTCCCTAAGCTTGGGCAACTACCTAAAATGATGCTTCACAGAGCCATTCCCCCACCATTGAGACCAAAGGCTGGAGAGATTAGTCATCTCTCGGAATGGAACACTGAGAGATTTGTTCTCAGCTCATCAAACAGTCTGAATTGATAAAGGACCATTTAGACTTTCATGTTCATTTTCACCAGACAGCATGATAGTAACAAGGACTTTCTTTAATCTCAAACGTAGCACCAACAAGCTGGCCATGTGTCTGATAAGAGTTTAAGGCAATGAACAATAGCCCCATTCAGAGACTTATCTCTTCTCAATGTATGACAGTTTTAACTTCCTTCAAGGAATCATAGCTTGTGGGGCAGGACAAGGACACCTCATACCCAGGCTGACCTCAAAGATATAATATATATATGTTATATGGAATTATATATATACAATGTTTACAGTATATAGACAATATATATTACAATATATATTGTTACAATATATATATATGCAATGATTACAGTAATTGGATCACAAGAACACAAACTCCATGATCAAGCTGCTTGGATACAGAGGTCTGGCCAGCTTCTCTTCATAGTTTGAAAGCCTGTTTTCTCCAAATCCATTGACTTGTTTTAAAAATCTGTTTCATTTTCTAACCAGTGTAACTATTCTCTGCCTTTTTTTCTGAAGTCAAGTTCTGATTGTGATTAGGTTTTGTGACAAACAAGTCTATAATCAGAAATGCATCTTCAATCAGCCTATTTTGCTATTTGTAGCAGGGAGCGTAATCACTTACCATGTGGAACAATGCTACACCTAGGTAAAATGATTCTGCCAAGAGCATCCTATAAAAGCTGCACTTTGAGTCATTTTGGGGAAAGTCTATGGGATGAGAATTTCCTATAAACTGGGTGAATCACAGACAATTCTGTCACTTGGCATCTCAATATATCTTATCTACAGTGAGAGCAAGCCTAAGTAAATGATACTGTGCTGGACATAAAAGTCGAAAAGAGCTTGTTAAGTGAGAGTGTAGCTGTCTCATTTAGTTGTTTTATCTATTTGTCATCTATTATTTACTTATTGTTGTTTGTTTATTTATGTATTTATTTATTTATTTATTTATTTTTGAGGCAGGATATCTCTAGCTGATCTCAAACTCATCGAGATTTGCCTGCCTCTGCTACTCTGAAAGTTGTGTGACACTACAACTGGCCATTTCATTTGTAATCTTGATACTCTTTTGTGTCTAATAGAACCATGGGATCCAGTTGAGATCACATTAGTCAGGTTACCAGAACACTGAGCCCTAAATATAAGTAAGGATCAGATAAGATTCTAGAGTTGGTGTCTGGTATGTGTGTGTGTGTATGTGTGTGTGTGTATTTTCATCAAAGAATATCTACTTTTCTTAATGTATCATGAGCTTGAGATAAGGCTAAATATGTGGCTTAGTTGCTGCAAGTCTAGTTTAGTATGTACAAAGCCTTGGCTTCAATCCTCACACAGCAGAAACAAACCAAGGCGATACATGCCTTGGACATGGAGCTACAAGTATAAGAAGTTCAAGATCTCTTCCATTGCTTCTGGTCTCTATCCTGTTTGCCAGTCTGAATGAGATTCAGGCATCCTTTCTATAGTCCTCCTTAGTGTTTAGCTTCTTTAGGTCTGTAGATGGCTATCCTATATTATACAACTAATTTCAGCTTATTAGTGAGTATACACCATGGCTGTTTTTCTGTTTCTGGGTTACCTCACTCAGAGGGTCTTCTGAAAGGAGTCACTCATCAGGGGATCAAATTAATGCTGAGACTCAGGGCCAAACTTTGGGCAGAGTGCAGGGAGTCTTATGGAGGAAAAGGGGTAGGATTAGAGGGATATGGAGGGGACAGGAACGCCACAAGGAGACCAACAAAGTTAAAGGATCTGAGCCCTGAGGGTCCTGTAGAGACTGATGTGGTAATGGAGGACCATGCATGGAGAGGACCTAGACCCCCTGCTCAGATGTGGCCGATTGGCAGCTCAGTCTCCATGTGGATCTCTGAGTGAGGGGAGCAGGGGCTGCCTCTATCATGTTGACTTCTTGTTGGCATTTTGTCCCTGGTGATGTAGCCTTTCCAGGCCACGGAGGAAGAGGATCCAAGCAGTCCTGATGAGAGTTGAGAAACTATGGGCAGATGGCAGTGGTGGAGAACTCCCACTTTCAGTAAAGTAGGGGAAGGGGATAAAAGGATAGAGGAATGGAGGGTGGGACTAGAAGAACAGAGGAAAGGAACTTCAATTGGGAGTACAATTTATGATGAATAAATTGTGAAGAAAAAATAAAAATTAAAAAATTTTAAAAGTTCAAGATCATCCTTAGTCACATAGCAAATTCAATGACAGACTGAGTTACATGAGAGCCTGCCTCACAGAAAAAAATAAAAAGGGAAAAAAAGGGGCTTGAAGTTGACCTGGAAACACTCAGCTATGTCTCTTGAGTAAGAAAAGCTTCATCTCAGCAACAACACAAATCATTTGCAAAGCAGAAAAGAAGAAAATCCTGATTCCTGTACAACAGTAAGAGTTGAATGCAATCGCTCCAGCGTGCCTCCTGAGGCTTGGAAACTATGCAAGTTCAGTTGTGATCCTTCCTGCATGCATTTAGAGCTTAAAGCAGAATGGTCTCTGCTTCTAGAGCACTGTAGATAGGAGCACAGAGTCTCAATTCTAAAATCATTTACAACCTTAGCGTCTACGAATTCAGTTCTAATAAACCAGTTTCATAAAATTATAAACTTAACTCACATTTTGGTTATTTCTGAATTTCAGAGATACCCAAGATTAAAGTTCAACACAAATTTTTAATGTGATGTTTATGGTGTGGTAAATGTTTCAGCTGCGAATTTTACAATGTGACTTAAAATATACTAAATAGTCATTTCCTAAGAAAATGCTTCATCTTGAATTAGCTTGTAAATGCTAATATTACTGTTTTTTAAATGTATTTACCTTTATTTTTATGTGCAGTGGTGTTTTGCCTGCATATATGTCTATGTGAGAATGTCAGATCTTAGATTTGAATCCAGATCATCTGGAAGGGTAGTCAGTGCCATTTACGACTGAGCCATCTCTCCATCCCCCAACGGTACAATTCTTTCATATTTTAAAGATATGTGTAAAAACGCTGCGGTGAGAACAAACAGATTTAAAGTGCATTCAAAACTTCTTCAGAATAAAGCAGCTTTATATGTTTCCATCCATTTATGGGAACAAACCTCATTATGAAAAAAAATTCCTGTATAGTTTCAGACTTTAGTTTACCAATGAAATGCTTTGCTATTCCTTGCAAATGGCAATATTAATATCTGCCCTCTCAAAAATAGCATGTAGATTACCCTTAACAGCATCTAAGGCAACGCTCCAAGATTCCCTTTCTCATAACATGAAAGTCACATTCATTCACTTTGTACTTGAATTTTTTTCCATTACTATTTTTGTAGGTATATGGAGACAAAAGAGTGCGCTGTGGGCCCCTACTCCTATGAGCAAGCTATAAAGCTCAAGAACAGGATTGGGGGTGCATACATCCCCCAATGTCCCAAGGTCTTCTCAGTAAACTGAGACATTAAACCGCTTTCCTACTCACTTGTCCTGGACATGGAAATTACTCCTCAGTAGTGCAGGTCACTCATACTGAACAGCGTTAGTTCACAATCCTCCAACCTGCTTTCAGTGTAAAGTCATTATCCACATGGCTGTGAGCAGTTTTGAAAGAACTGATATAAAAAGTATAATGGAGGTCCTCCACCCCTTCTATTTGACCCCAGTCTATCAGGTCTCATCAGGATTGGCTTCATTGTCTTCCTCTGGGGCCTGGTAAGGCTGCTCCCCACTCATGGGGAGGTGATCAGAGAGCCAGTCACTGAGTTCATGTCAGAGAGAGTCCTTGCTCCCTTTACTAGGGACCCTACTTGGAGACTGCGCCTATGGGCTACCTCTGAGCCATGTAGGGGAGGGGCATAGGGAGTGAAGAGGGATGGAGAGAGGGATTGGAAGGAGATGAGTGAGGGGGACACAAAAGGGATAAAAATTGAATAAATTGTAATAAATGATAATAAAAAATAAAATATGAAAGAAATATAATGGAGGAGGGGCATGGCAGAAATTCACCCCGAGACTGTTGATCTTAGGGAGTCTTTGGTTGCAATGAGAAAGGCAGAAGGGCCTAGAGGGAATAGTCAACTGGAAAGACAAGTGGTGCGGCTTTCTTTGATCCTCCAGGAGAGGATGTTCGGAACCAAGTAACAGTGGGAAAGGTCAACTTCTAGAAATAGAAACAACAGGAGGGCTCACCATCCAGAGCCCAGGAGTGTCCGGGAGAATGTGAGAAGCAGAGGCCAGGAACATCCTCTCACTCCAGAACAGTCCAAAGCCAACTGCAACCTCACTGACAGTTACTTCCTCCAAGCCCCGCCCCTACTATCTGCCTATTGGCTGTAGATTCACGACTCCCGACTTGATTGGCTCAGATAAACAGCATCCATTTTGAGTATATTAAAGGCATTTTAAAAGTATAAAACTGTGTTTTGTTTTGTTCTGTTTTGTTTTGTTTTGTTTTCAATAAGGAATCGTGAAAAGAAACTTCCAGAAACTGTATTATTTGTGGTCATTTACGCTGTGGCAGGGTGAGTTTCTGGCCATGAACACATGGACTGTGTTTTCTCTGAATTCAGGAAATAGGAAGTCTTTTGGATAGCGTGCTTTTGTACATCCTTTGAATGCAGGAATTCTGATTGTTGTGATTGAAGCTTGGGGTTGGGTCCTTGGTTCTGGGCACATAAAAGTATGCAATCAAGAATCACAGGGAAAATAGGTTCCGAGTCACTGTGGGGCAAGAGTAAAGATGGTTTCAGGTGACATATTCATGAATCTTTTAAAGTATAAATAACGAATAATTTCACTGAAACTATTTAGACCCTGTATGTATATTCTAATTTGTGGCTAGCTGAGATTCAAACCAATCATCACAGTATTCTAAGAAAATGTTTCGAGAGAAATTATGTAATGCTTTCTAACTCTGGGTCGTATTTTTCTTTATTCATTTTTTTTTCATGTAGGAGAGCGCGTTATATTCTGACTCACACAGATTTTGTGTGGGTTTTTACATCCCTGTGAGAAGGAATGAAGAGAGAAATGAAGGCCTGGGAAATGCAAGAGTAACTTCAGAGGAGTATTCTGTACATTGTCATTTTGGCAGTCAGCATTTCCAGCCTCAGACAGCCTGACTGCTCCTAACAGTAGGGATCATTGAAGGGAATTATCTCTACAAGTTAACAGTGTAAATCCATTTTAGCAAATGGTCAAATAAACCATGAAATAATTTTAAAACTGATAAAAATGCTTATAAATTTTTAATGAAATAAGAGTTAAGATTATCTCTGACTCAATCTGGTCAAAAAATAGGAACACCTCTACCTCAGGACCCAGCCATACCACCCCTAGTCATATACCCAAATGATGTTCCACCATTCAGCAAGGACACTTTATCATCCATGTTAGTGGTGGCTTTATTCATCATAGCCAGAAACTGGAAACAACTCAGATATCCCTCAGCTGAAGAATGGATAAAGAAACTGTGGTACAGTTACATAATGGAATACTATTCAGCTATTAAAAATAAGGACATCTTGAATTTTGCGGGCAAATGGACGGATCTGGACAAGATCATTTTGAGTGAGGTGACCCAGTCCCAGAAAGACAAGCATGATATGTACTCACTTATAAGCGGCTATTCACTGTATAAAACAGGATAACCACACTACAGTTCACAGATCTAAAGATATTAAGCAACAAGGAGCACACTAGGGAAGATGTTTCTGAATTCTCATTCAGAAAGGCAAATAAAAAACAATGACTGAGGCAGTTGAAGTGAAGGAACAGGATGGGAGCCTACTATAGATGTCCTTTGAAAGACTTCACCCACCAGGGGATCAAAGCTGATGCTGAGACTCACACCCAAACTTTGGGCAGAACACAGAGAGCATAATGGAAGAGTAGGGGATAAACCAGAGAAGATAGGAGCTCCAGGAAAAGGCCAAAAAAGCCAAAAATCTGAGTCCAGGGTGGCTTGTGGAGGCAGATGTACTACCCAAGGACCATGCATGGAGAAGACCTAGAAACACTGCTCTGCGGCAGCTCAATCTCCATGTCGGTGCCCTAGTAAGGGGACCAGGGGCTTTCTAGGACATGGACTCTGTTGCCTGCTGTTTGATCACTTCTGCTTGGCTGGGCAGCTTTGCCAGGCCACAGAGGAAGCAGGCAATCCTAATGAGACTTGATAGGCTGGGATCAATTGGTAGGGGAGGAGATCTTGTCTTTCCAGAGGACTAGGACAGAGGAAAGAGGGAGGGAGGGTGAGACTGTGCTAAGACAAGTGAGGGGGTAAAATCCGCATGTAAAGTTAATAAATTTTAAAAAAAGATAATTTCTGACTAAACATTTAGATGGAAATTATAAGGACTGAATGCATATCTTATACTAGAGACAGAATTTGAATATTAAATAAAATAACTTTATATATTTGACTTACAGGAAGATTATTGATATTGACACTTGCTCATTGAGTGGGTCTCATAAAGACTTTCTTTTGAGTGGATCATGTAGTTTTACCGTACTTACCTCTCATACCGCTCCTTTCTATCTCTTCTCATTTTTTTTTCCTTTTGGCTTCTCACTACTGTCTTTCCTTTCTACAGACTCCTTCTACTTTCAAGTTATATATAGAGAGATGCATACATATGGTTTACATATCTGTACCAAATCTAAGATACACAAATAGGAGAAAATTTGACTTTTGTCTTTCTCAGGCTGGCTTACTTTGCCTATATATTGATGGCTGGTTCCATCATCTTCCCAGCAGTCATTCTTTAGTTATTTATTTTTAATATCCCCTCCTCTTCCTCCTTTTTCTCCTCCTCCTCCTCCTTCCTCTCTCTCTCTCTCTCTCTCTCTCTCTCTCTCTTAAGACAGAGTTTGTTTGTGCAGCCTTGGATGTCTTGGAACTCACTCTGTAGACCAGGCTGGCATTGATTTGAACTCAGTGATCCACCTGCCTCTGTTTTGTTGAGTGATTGGATTAAAGGCATGCACCACCACTGCCTGACACTGATGACATTCTTTATTAATAAGTCTTAAGTTATATAAAACTCAGGCAGTTGTTGGAAATAAGCCAATGAGTTTAAAGGTTAAAAAAAAAGGAAGTAGATGAATAAATTTTTGGTGGCTAAATAGAAAGAAAGTACTGTACAGTCTTCTTTAGAAGTTCAGCTAGCAAAGAAGATATTGTGACTGTTAGTGAAACTTTCACCAGCAAATTCAATGCAGTTTTCACTCCAATGCATTCTCCTTCATTTAATGCTTCCTCTCTGCCCACAAGAATCAGGTAACTTTTTACTTCATTTTACAAATATTTATTTGGAAGTCAATAGCAAACAAATACCAGGTTACAAGATTCTTCCTTTTAGCCAAGTAGTTAAAAGGGATGTATGCTTTGTTCTGTGTGTTAATCACAGATGTATGTAATCACACAGCTAGCAAATCGTGTAATGGTAGCATATTTGAAACAATGGCTATAGAAAATGGGAGCAGGGTGAGAATGAAGGCAGGCACACAGCTTCTGAGGTATGTACAACTTGCTGAAACAGATAGCTTCCTCTTTGTCTCTTTTATGTAATTGTAAATTAGAAAACCTGGTAGAAGCAAAGACTCTCCTTACAGTGTCTTTCTGTTTCTTTGAATTATGCCTGTGTTCACATTCCAGCAAGATACACATGTTTTACATTTGAGACTGACTTGTTTCAAGACTCTTTTTGTTCATTAACACTTTTTTGTTATTGGGCAAGCCAACAAATAATTTGCTTTATGGATTTGCCTATCATTATAAGCTGACCTAGTTTAAGAACTTAATGAATATCATCTTATTATTTTCGGCTCATTCTGAGTGACTGAATTAACAGCACTTAACCTACCAGTTTTCTTGAGGTTAAGGTAATACCCAGTGTTCCTTAAGGACTGGGGTGAACAGTCTCAGGAGGGGGCTCAGTAGTTAAGATTCAAGAGTAAGAACAATCCACTGAGGCCCCAAGTTCTGTTCTAAGTCCCTACAACAGGAAATTTACAATTACTAGTAAATCAAGCTCCGGGGATCCAAGACCTCTTCTATCCTGCGTGGTTATCTGCACTCAAAGGCACATAACCCCATCATAAACATCACTGACAAACTAGAATATATCTTTAGAAAATATTTGAGGAGAGGAAACAAAAACCAAGGTAAACACAGAAGAGGGGCTGGGGTTTAATGATAAAGCTTCTGAGCATGAGGAATGTCCTGGGATCAGTCCTACCAGCAAGTAAAATAGTAAGTAAATACAAAAATGCTTGCTGGGGAATTCTCTCAGGAAAGAGTTAAAACTATAGACAAGAAAACCTGGGGCAAATGATGATGAGGGACAAAGCAGTACAGAAACTGTTGTGAAAGCGTTGATGGACAATTGGGTTGTTCTTAATTTTTTTTTGAAAGTTTGGGTTTTCATGTGTATTGTTCAATACTTCCCTGAAGGCAAAGAACAAACTACTTATGCATAGTATAATGTGCGTGGTGACTTTTAACCTCATGTTCTCATTTTATTTAACAGTGTGAGGCAGGTAACCTTAGTTAAGCCTACCGTAGACATGAAATGCTGAGGTGCAGGAAGGTAAAAGATTGCTAGAAGACACCAGTACTATAGATCAGCCCATGTAAAGCATGAGCACAGTAGTGTTTCTCTACTAACAAAGTGTTTCTCTAACAACAAAGTTGCCACATGTGTTTGAGACACTTCTTATGCTTTTGTATAGCTTAGATTCACTACATTTATTTGCATGACTATTTAGTACTAAGTTTCTTGTAATCTTACTTCCTAAGTCTGTAGAATGCCATTTAGTTTTATGCAGAAGAGGCAAATAAAAGGAAAAGAGAAGTGTTATTAGGAACTCTGGGGTAGTATGGATCTGTGTTTTCCTAAACAATGGACCTAATTTTCTGAGTATTCACAGTGGATAAAGTATAAGAATTATGTCTCTCAATCTGTTTCTCTCTGTGTGTGCATCTCTCTGTCTCACTCTGTCTTCTCTCTCTCTTTCTCACTCTCTGTGTGTGTGTCTCTCTGTCTTGTCTCCTACTGCATGAAAGGCCTTGAATGTGCCAGACAGCTGACAATGTACATAGGATCTCCAGCATTTTCCTTTTTGGTGAGACACAGTCTCAACTCTGGATCACTGATTGGTCTTGAATGCATATTCTAACTTTCTCAATCTGGAGTGTGTCATTGCACAGCTCTCATTTTTTATGGAGCAGAAGAGGCAACTAAGCTGGTAATCATGAGGCAGAGAGACAATTGTTGATAGAATACTTTGCAGGTGTATGGCCGTGTATATCCCTTAACAATAGACCTCATTTTCAGAGTCATTGTTGATGATAAAACATAACAATTACGAGACTGCAGTCGTTGGAGGAAACGTGACCATCTTCTGCAACTTGACAAGTCTGGCAAATGTTGAGCAAATCACCTGGCAGAAAATCCAAGGCTCTTTGCCTCAAAATATTGGCACTTATAGCCACAAATACGGGGAAAAGATCCTCCCACCATATGAAAACAGGCTGCACTGCAAGATCCTGGAACCCAGCGCCTCCTTCATAACTATCCAGGAAGTGACATTTGAAGATGAAGCCTGCTACAAGTGTCTTATGAACACTTTTCCACATGGCAGTCATGGAGGACAAACCTGCCTTAACATTTTAAGTATTTAAACTCTTTCTCTATGGTACTATTATGGGGCAGACATTGTGAAGTTATAGCTTTTAAGAACACTGTCCAAGGGAAGAAAGTTAGACAAGGAGAAGCTGATGGTGATGAGTCCAAGTTACTTAGACAGGAAAAAACACCATGGAGACCAATGGAGACTGTGTGTTAAGGTAGGACCTTCCCCTACCTCACATCACTTCTTCACAGTATGGTACACTGGCCTCCATTAAGTGGAGGAAACCCCAAAACAGTATCGAAATTTTGCTATTAAGAGAGGAGAAGATACGAGAAAGCAGACAGCAGAGAACAAGGGAAGGTGAAAACTAACAAGATTAGGTCTCTCCAGTCTTCAAATGAGCACAACGTCACAGGACTAGTAAGAACACCAGAGGTCCTTCTTGTGCAGCCTAAGTGTGGAGTGCTGGGATGTGTGTAATATAATGTACAATCACTTGGACATTGAGACAGCAGTGAGTGAACAGGGGAACAGGTATTGGAAGGTTTATGACATGTATAGGGAGGTATCTGTCAGGGATATGCTTTCAGCAATTATGTGTCATACAAATTAGGAAAGCCATGCTTTAACAGCACAATGTTTGGTATGACTTGTTTTTGTGTGTGTTTTTTTTTTCTCTGCCTTAGCTGTATCTGAGTTAGTAACTGAACTCCAATCTGTTCCTGGCTCTGAAGATCTTCATAACCATCACTGTTCAGCTGTGGGAAAACCTGCCCCTGGAATCTCAATTCACCCTTCAGGAGTCATAGTGTCCACAGAAGAGTACACTCTTCAGAACCTCAATACCACAGTGATTGTCACTAAAAGCTACAACATCTCTTTGAAAACTGTGATGTCCTTGGGTCTCCGGAACCTGGTTGTGTCTATGACTCACCCCGTAAGACATGAAGAGAAGATAGTTCCTCTGCCAGTACACCAAGAAAGTGAGTAAATGTGACAGGATAATCAGAGAGAACACTTGATCCTGGGAAAACAGCATAGTTTGTAGAAGCTTTCCATTAAAGTATGGAATCCCAAATTAAAACTCCAACACTGACATAAATGGCCAGGCATGTGTGTGTGCTTGTGATCCCAATGTTGGACAGGCAAGGAAAGGCAACACT